CTGGGTAAGGGACCCCTCGGCGCGTGGGGCAGCCTGGGTAAGGGACCCCTCGGCGCGTGGGGCAGCCTGGGTAAGGGACCCCTCGGCGCGTGGGGCAGCCTGGCTTACGCACCTTGCTGTGTGAGTGTGTTAATCCCATGTACATGCATGGACGTGGCTGACAGACCCTGACGCTCCTGTGACCTCTGGCCTAATGTATGTCCGTGCAGGGGCCCATGCCATTGCCCTCGACCGCATGGAAGTTCTTACCGTCTGTCACGCTGTCTGGTGCTCTTCCGAAATCCATCTGTGGCGCTTTAGTCCCCCAGGAGGTGAGCGGCGGGCTCCCGTGTCCCTGACGCCTTTTGGAGCGCTGCTCCCCCCCCCACGCTGTCCCTCCGTCACTGTCCCCTGCTCTGACTTGTGGCCATCCTGCCTCCTCATCTGTCTCTGTCTGCCTGTGGAGTGCATGACAAACTCCTCTCTTCTCCTCTCTCTCTCCCCCCCCCCCTTGCCCTGATGCTCTTTCCCTCTTCTCTCTCACTCTGGTGCTTAGCATCATTCCCCACCCCCTGCTCCAATTGGTCCCCCGTAACAGACTTAGCCCTTCTCGATTGGTCTTCCATAATTAGGCTCCGCCCTCTCTGTTAATCCTGTCTCCTGCTCCCCTGGCAGCTCTGAAGAGGTGGCGGTTGCCTCAGTCTCGTGCTTTTTGCGGTTTCGTGTCTCTGATGTACAGAGTCTGCGGCGGAGGCATCTGGCTGGATGCTGCTGAGCTGCTGTGGACACTGGAACCACCAGCATGTGTTCATATCTGCAGCCGGTGCTAAAAGGGCTCTTTGACTTTAGTTTGCTGATTAGTAAATCAGAAATGATTGGGAATCATGCTCTTTTAATGTAGCATTAGCATAGTGCCGGAATGATGCTTTAACTGAGACGAGAAGTCGTCAGTACTGATCTGCACATGCTGTTACACCTCGTAATGTTCTCATAGGAAAGGTCAATTGACATTTCGAATACTTTCAAAGTTACTCACCAGTTACTAAAAGGAAGGACCTGCTCTGTGCACTAGCACTAGCGAATGGTCCCTCTGCAGCTTTTCACGGCCGCTGGCTCTGTGCACAGATGTGAACCTGGAGCCTGTTCCGGGAAGCACTGGCAGGAGGTGCCGGGAAGCACTGGCAGGAGGTGCCCCTGAGCACATGTATGGCTGTCTTTGCAGGGGTTTTCCCCACTTAGGAAGACAGTGAATTTGGGGTGGGGGACGCAGGAAGTTTTAGACTGAGCTGCTGTCTATCAGATAGAAGTGGAAAATTCTCTCTCCTCTTTGGGAATTCAGGGTACACTTTGGGATGGCTTTTATCCAGCGGGGCCCCTCTGACGCATCCCTTTTATAGGTACCTCTCTATCCGGGACATGGGCTCTAAACTCGGAGCGTTCCAGTTCACGACGGGACATGG